ACTATAACATATATCTCCCATACAACTGATTGTTCAGTTATGAGAATTTTCGTTATAACTCCTCCATTTATGCACCTAGGAACATGAAATTTTGCAATAATTCCACCCATTAACAACAGAATATACAGTGAAAATAAAAAAAAATCGGGTCTCTTTTACATATAGCTCCCATACAACTGATTGTTCAGATATGAGATTTTTTGTTATAACTACTCCATCTATGTAGCTCGAAACATGAAATTTCGCCCTATTTTCACTCATTATCAACAGAAAGTTTACAATAAAATTAACAAAGATCGGGTCACTATAACCTGTTTATTGCCCCCATACAACTGATTGTTCAGATATGGGGTTTTACTGGAAAACTCCTTTATTTGGACAGCTAAAACCGATAAATTTCGTAAGCTATTTTTTAAATAATAATACAAAGTCTACTGAGAAAATCGTCAAAATCTATGCTGTATAATCATAATATCTTGTACCACTGATTGTTCAGATACCAGTTTTTGCGATATATGTATCTCCTTTATGTAGGAAGCTAAACCCATTAAATTGTGTTACCGGTTTACGTACCGATCACACAGTAGTGAAAATCACTTAGATTGATGCTATATAAGGTATATCTTCCATACCTCTGATTATTTAGATATGATTTTTTATATATGTATCTCCTCTATCTATGCCTGCTGTGAATATATAAATTTATTCAAATGCAGTAATCTGTTAAAGTAAAATTTTCAGTTACTCATGAAAGGTATGAAGTCTTCGGCATAGCCGAAGACAGCGCTGCTCCTACTTGTTACAAGTTAAGGGCGTTCTGCCTCCCATTGCTACCCAGGGTCAAATTTCAAGGATGACAACTCAACATACCCCCATATAGCTCTGGCAGCAAATAGGCCTTAACTAAATAATGACGAAAAAATGTCACTGGCTCTGCTAGTATTAAACTTATTATCCTACTAAAAAACACGTCTACCCAAACCAATTTATATACTTACAGCTCATCTGGACAGTTGAATGGTTGCGCTAATCGATAGCCGTCCTTCAAATAATGTTCCATTTCGAAAGGATCTACCTCTGAGTAAGGCTGTTTCGCATATGTACACAACTCCCACATAAGTACGCCAAACGCCCAAGAGTCGCTTGCTTCAGAGAACTGCTTGTGCTGCAAAGCTTCCAGAGAAAGCCACTTTACAGGACGATTTTCGCTGTCACCCAAACAATTGTAATCGCCCGGAAAGAGATCGCGAGAGAGCGAACTGTCTGACAACTTAACGCGTAACTGGTCATCGATGCTGGAAAGAGAGGAAAGCGAAAAAATTATGATTGGTGACGTGCAATAGTCTCAATGGAATTAATGTCAGTTGACATAAATTCTTTTTTGTAAGGGAACTAATGTCAATGACATTAGTACGCAGGCCAAAAGTGAAATAATGTCAATTGACATTAAGTCACTTTGGAATTGATTCACCCTCAAAACGTGGAATATGTAATGTTCGAAAAGTTAATTTTGTTATTTAAACTTAAATTCACAAAATAAATGTGTATTAACGTCATCAAAAATACATATTACTAACCTTTCAAACTTACAGAAGACAGGAAAACAAAGACGTTAGTACGCTTTTTAATAGCGTCTTTTTGATTTATATAAGAATAACAAGCAAATACTTCGACCAACAAATATTTAATTTATAAATATCAAATTCCATTCGATATATGTACATAATATAATTTATTATACGAAAAATTTTATCATGTTCTGCGATTATTCGCGCCTGCAATAAGGACATAAGAAAGTTGAGTTAATATGTCTTTCAACCTGTAAATAAGTTTATTTACAATATGCATATGAGTCACAAGTCCCAAGCGCGCTGAGCGGTGCAAAACAAGCTACTCTTCGACTAGCTGGGAAGCAGACAAAAAATAGGAACCAAAATTTGGAAAATATTATTTCACTAGATTTTTGTACGGACCATCGGATAGGTGCTATGCGTTTTCGAAAATTTTCCCATTTTCATGGTGAAAATTCGTAACGAAAATTTATTTGTAATTTTTCTAAATTATGATCATTTTTAATTTTGTTTTTAATCATCTCTATTGAAGATCAGGTTTTTTTACATAGAAGTCATTAATAAAAAGAGGGGCATTTTTGATTTTTCCGAGTTATAAAGCGCTTTGGAGCGCGCTAAACTGCTAAACGTGCAATCTACAATACTGTATTAAAACAAATTTTTATTTTTTTTAACTTAATAACACAACTTTTGCATTTAAAAAAAGCACTTCTCAATTCTCATAAAAAGTTTGGGAGCCTTTATTTTTATTTGGAATTAGTATTAAAAAGTGTTGTTAAACTTGAATTCTTTGGAATAGTTCGTAGTTTATTGTGTGGAAATTTCAAGTCGATCGATACACAAACATCTGAGATATAGCGAGCTTAACGGTCTATTCTGCATTGGTAATAAAAAGTTTGTAACCGGTAAATTTTGTTACCATCTCATAAGCTGGTAACAAAGTATTGCCCCGTGAAATATGCAATCTCAGAATTTGCACAATTCTTCATAGCTGAATCGCTGATTATTTGCACTGCATTACCAACGTACCTAGCATCGCGGTGACAAGAGCTGGTAGCATTTTTTGGTAATAAAATTTTCCGGTCACAAAATCGTCGGTAACGTTGCGCACGGCAACACTTACTGTTGGGAATTTCGCCTGATGATTAGAAAAAGGTCTTCTTGAGGATAAAATTTATATAATTATGTTATTTATGAACAAGATGTAGATTAAGTATAGTATCAATGCTTAATTAAGAATAATATCAATAGTTAACTACATAATTAACGCTTGTGTTTCTATAAAGCGGCAACTCAATCGTATTTTTTTATTAAAAAACGTGAATTTTGTGTATTTATCAAAGAAAACTCTAAATTTCCGAGTATATTTAAATCTTTTATTCCAAAAAAAAATAAGGTTTGGTTAGTTATAGAGACTCCAGTGCCTGCCAGCGCATTCGCCCAGACAGCGCTCATTAAGCATACCCAAGTTTGAGCGGAACTCCTCAAAAATACTCAACATCAATGTATAGAATATCACAAATATGAATCATACACAGATGCGATATCAATTGCTATGAATTGCTTCCGTATAAATTCAAGACACGCATTTGGTTGGTGAGTGCGTTGGTCATGGCGTCATAAGTTCAGCCAACACATTCAATGGTCCATTAAAATTATAAGAAAAGTGTGTGTTTACAAAACTACCTGTGCCACTCTGATTAGTATGGTTGCTGCACCCTTTCATACCACTGTAATTTTGTATGCAACTCTGAATCAGCAAAAGACAAGGTCCTTCTCATTATCAACCCTGAGCATATTTTACCCCCGAGGAGTACTCAAAAAGGTTTATTACTGTATATACTGTGCTAACTCGGAAAACCCAAAAAAGTTTCATTTTATACCCGAGCGCACTTGTGCACAAGGGTATTATAACTTTGTTCACATAACGGTTGTTTGTAACAGGCAAAACCAATCGAGATAGATATAGACGAATGTATAAAAATGTATAAATGATCAGAATGAAAAGAGAAATGGATTAAGCGATCCGCCCGCCCGCCCGTCTGTACACAGGATAATTCGAGTAAAAATTGAGATATCTTAACGCAACAGGGTACGTGCACTTCTTTCGAGCATAGGACGGATGGTATTGAAAATGGGCACAATCGGACGATAACCACGCCTACCTCCCATATAACGGTAGTTTTCAGAAATACGAAAACTGCGATATTTTAATAACTACTGAAGGGTATTCACTAAAAACTGATATTTACAATAATTTTTAGACGAAAAATAAGGACAATAACCCACATCCCATATAACGGTAATTTAGAGAAATACGAAATCTTCGATAACTCAGTAAATATTAAAGCTAATTTATTGAAAATTTATGCTTGCAATAATTCTTAACAAGAAATACGCTTTTAATAAAATTTTGGAAAATGGGCGTGGCACCGCTCACTTATAATCACATATATGTATCTCGGTAACCTTTCTACCAATTTGTACTCGGTGTAGTTATTGTGCTTGCCACTAGGGATGTCGGAAAAAGATCGATGAATCGAAAATATCGATGTTTTGCCTCGATGCATAGAAAGTTTTCCACTCCATGTATAAATAGTCGATGTATCGATGCATTGATGTTTTTTGAAAACTGACATCTCTAGTGCACTGAACCGTCTTTCCAGTTTTTCAATTGCACAAAAAACATAAGTGATTTTGATCAAAAAATTGAAACGACTCCAAAAAGTTTCGTTAGAAACATAATTACCTCAGTTGCAGTAATTTATTTCCAATTTTGTACAATCCCTTGAAAAGAAGTAATAGTATTTGGAATTTTGGAAAATGGGCGTGATACCGGTGACATATGACTGTATAAGTTTATCTCATTATGTCTAACTGAACGTTCTATCGAAAATGTTTAAAATAGTGGGGTGTTAACACCCTACCCCTCTCCCTGGCTTACTATGGAGCGGTAGTTTTCGGAATGGTGAAAAACATATATCTAATACTTGCGCTGGGTATTTAATGTTCGGCTACGCCCGAACTTAGACTTTCTTACTTGTTTATTAATGATTTCTATGTAAAAAGACCTGATCGGTCGATTGAAATTACTACAAAAAATTTACAAATTACCATAATTGAGAAAAATTACAAATAAATTTTCGTTTCGAATTTTCACAATGAAAATCGGAAGATTTTCATAACGCATAGCCCATCTGATAGCCCGTAAATAAATAAATAAATAAAATCTAGAGAAGTCATACTTTTCGAATTTTCGTTCCCATTTTTTGCCTGATTCCCGGCTAGTCCAGAAGTAGGTTCTTATGCACCGCTCAGCGCGCTTGGGACATTTGTTATGAATTGACCCACATTTTTATGAAATCTATCTACATATACATAGTATAAAGGAAAGTCGAGCGAAGTGAACGGATTTTGACGAGATTTTCTCTAATATATTCTGTATCGATAGGAGAGTGACCTTTTTTATTTAGAATTTTAATAGGGTTGCCACCTGTGTAAAAAACTATAAGATCCGCACCGTTCGTTGGATTACAGAAAATGAGGTGTCAGATAAAAGCGATTGGTCTCTAGAAATCACTAATGTCTTATTTTTTTAATAGGGCTGCCATCTGTTAAGAAAATTGCTATATTCAAGCCTAATAAGCGTAAGCGTCAGTTCTGCACCGTCACTGTCAAATGAAAAGACTTAGCCTCTAGATGTGCAATAATGTATTATTTTTCTGAGAAGGGTTGCCACCTGTTTAAAAACTATAAGATCCGCACCGTTCGTTGGATATAAAAATGAGATACCAAATGAAAGTGCATGGCCTTCGCATGTACAAACACTTTAATTTTTTGAGTAGGGTTGCCACCTTTTTAAAATTACTATCTTCTATACATAGTATAAAGGAAAGGCGAGATATTTTGACCACGCTACTGAATGGATTTAGACACGATTTTTTAAGCATATAATAAACGAAGTACATAATGACATATGATTTCTTTCTCCAAATACGTAAATGTACATACATACGCATACATTCAGCGCGTGGCGAAGCCTCGCTCATCCGTGGCCGGCTAGTATAGTATATAAAAATCGGATTTAGTAAATCTTTTTTTGGAAGGAGCAAGGCTCGATCTTCTCCGAATTGAACTAATGTGAATGATATTACAAAAGTGAATTTTTGTCAATTGACATTAATTCCCCTGCAGAAAAAAAATTATCGGTTGATTGAAATAACCAACTTCTAGTTAGGTTTTTTGCGGGATTTCGATTAATAACTAACTTTTAATTAGCTATGACAAAACTAAGTTAGTTGCAAAGTCGTGCAGGGGTCATGCAGACGTTATCGGGAGTTTGTTTTCTTTAGTTTCTATTTAAATATCCTCATTCAAAAATTACTTTCAATACACTTTTTCTGCACTTCGCAGATTCTTTTTCATATTCAGGACAAATAAAATAAAGGTCGAAATTTTTATATTATCATTTTGATGTGATGTAGAGGTGGTAAACTGTCGATAATGGCGACTATCAATAGTGGGCGATATTTTTTTCAAACTACCGATAGTTTATCGATAGTCCCTTATTTTGAAAAAGATAAAAAATCTAATTGGGGTGTATTCATAGTCAATATTAAGTTGGTACTTAAAGTTGGTTGTAACTTTATTGACATATAACCCATCCAAAATTATGTCAAAAAGCTGCAACTAGCTTTAAGTGCCAACTTAATTTTGACTATGAATACGACCCATTGCATTAAGTATAGTTTTTTAAAGACCATAAGGACCTACCTTAATAATGAAAGTATGATTTGAAAACTAAACATATTTACGTTTTCTGCTTTCTAAAGCCAATTGTTTTTTTAATGGTGATTTTGTTTCTACCAAAAAAATCTCGTCTTTTGATTGCCCCTTTCTCTTATCGTGTTCGATTCTAAATTAAAGGCAAAGGGTGAGAAAATTTCCTGTTCGTGTCTTCTCTACCCTGTGAAAATCAGATGGTTGGTTAAAACGACAATATTATTAATATTTTGAAATGTGCGAAACCATGCCTTTTTACAGGGTTGAGTGTAACATGAAACACATTTTACACCGGGGAAGGGCAACATTTTTTGGAAGAAACGAAATCACCATAAGAAACATAGCATGCCAACAATTTTAGGTTTTAGGTGCGCCGTTTTTTCGTTTACTATTAAAGCTGCTTTACTGTACATTCGTTCCGATTCTACTGATGACGTTAGGCCAATATAGTTGCCATATATTCTTTTATATAAAAGTATTGCCGCTTTATAAAATGCACATTCACCATTTTTGTGTCTTATATTTGGAAAATTTTCGATAGTGAAAATACCCGATAGTTTTGAAAAACTATCGATAGTGAAAAAAGGTGCCAGTGAAAGTGCCATCGATAGTTTGCCACCACTAATGCTATGTCTCATCGAATTCAAATATGAGAGCACCTACAAGAGAACGTGTAAACAAATAAGCAAATATGTAAAGTTAAATAAAATAAGTAAATATATAAAAATATAATATATTTAAAAAATCTTTGTTTTTTTTTCTTTATTGATAGTTTATGTCCAAAAGCAGTTAGCTACAAGTTAGTTCACATCTAATGAAGAGAAAACTAGTTCTCACTATTTTGCGGCCATCGCCCTTCAAAAGTAGTTAGTTACGGCCAAAGGAAATAGTTAATAAATAGTTATCACTAGTCGACTGCTAGTTAGTTACAAAATAGTCCCATTTCCTGCAGGGTCCATTGACATTGTTGCACGTCACCATTATGATTATACATATTTATATGCGATAAAAATAAGTTTTGTCCAATTAAATATTAAGAAATTCTTAAAAGTTTCGCTACATTTAAACTCTAATACTTACACGCAGTTTCGCGTTGCAATATCCTTGTGTACAACTCCATGGCTATGTAAGTGTACCAAAGCCTGCGCCAATTGGGTGGACATCATCACAATCTGCACAGTGGTTATCGTCCGTGCGCAAGACGGATCCAACAGGAAAAGCTTCAGATTACGAGTGGTATTCGGCGCTGAGTAGAGCACGAAAGGTGTGGTGTGGTCTTCAATCGATACGCCTAAAACCGAGAGAATGCCCTGATGGGAAGCGCCATACAGCGACATACCCTCCTGTAGCAGTAGAGAGACTTGCATTTGACTTGCATGTTGCGCCACTGTCTTCACCAGAACATCTTGGTTGTCATTGTAGGTACCACGGTAGACGCGCCCAAACGTACCCTCTTGAAGTAGATTTGACAGACGCACACGGCAACGCTCCACAGTCAACTCTGATATGCGCCTATGCAACTCTTCCGGCTGTTGAGTTCCCACTTTGCGTGGCAAAGAACTATGGATAGGTGAAATTATAGACGGTGGACCGATATAAGTGGCAGACTGCTGGCATGGGACGTTCGTGTTGAGACGCTGGAAGCTCGACGTGCGCATGAGTTGACCATGGTTTTGACGCTTCGCCGAACGACGCACACAGTAGGCGGTCATGAGCAAAATGATAACGAGTGCCAAGGCCAAAGAGCTGCTAACAATGATGGTCAATATGCCAGTGGGAGGTGGCACAGCGGTCTCCAATAACACAGGTCCAAGCACTGTGTTCTCTTCTGGTTCGGCGAGTAGGCAAATCCTTTTGCGTCGAAAAACCAAATGAGTTACATTGCTGAGTGCGCGATTGAGTATAACCTCAATTGAAATTGTTACGTCCACCTCGGAAGCGCGTATACCCGAGCATTTGAGGCCGATAGCAAACGTTTGCTCGTTAGTTGGTATTTCACCGATCTGGGAGATGTTAATTAAGGGGCGCGGCAGAATTTCCTGATCTGTTGAGACCACGTTAATGCTGTAAGGAAGTGGGCGACCGGCCAAACTTTGCCAGGTAAAAGTAATGTCCCGCACATTCGCCGGCACTGGTACTATGAAATTGAGAGCATAATTGTTTACGTGACCTTCGCGAACATAGTATACCTCAGCGGATACACCTGAAATTGATAAAGGAAAAAAACTATTATTTACAGCACATATGTATCTATGTATATATATAATACGCGAAGGGATTTTTTGTGCAGCATAAAAGATCTGTACCGTTCGCCCGATTTTCAAAAATGAGATGTCAAATTAAAGCACTTGGTCTATAGATGTGCAATAAGGTTTTACTTTTTCGAAAAGAGTTGCCACCTGATAAAAAATTGCATTCAAATAATTTAATAATCAATGCCATCAGATCCACACCGTTCGTTCGATTTTCAAAAGTGAGGTGTCACATCAAAGGGCTCTGACTTTAGGTGGGCAATAAGGCTTAACTTTTTGGAAAAGAGTTGCCGCCCTTTAAAAAATTAAGTTCAAAATATTACGCGAAGGCATTTTTTGTTCCGCATAAAAGATCTGCACCGTTCGTTCGATTTTCAAAAATGGGGTGTCAAATTAAAGCGCTTGGCCTGTAGCAATGTGCAACATGGTTTTATTTTTTCGAAAGGAGTTGCCACCTGTAGAACAATTGAATATAAATTATATAATAAGCAATGCCGTCATAACAGGTCAAATTAAAACTCTTGGACTGCAGATATGCAATAAGGTTTTACTTTTTTTTTTTAAATATCATTGAATTTATCTAAAAACAAGTAAGAGCAGTGCTATCTTCGGCTATGCCGAAGGCTTCATACCTTTCATGAACATCTGAAAACTTTACTTTAACAGATTACTGCATTTGAAAAAATTTATATATTCACAGCACACATAGATAGAGGAGTTACATATATAAAAAATCTTATCTAAACAATCAGAGGTATGGAAGATATACCTTATATAGCACCAATCAAAGTGATTTTCACTGCTGTGTGATGGGTATGTAAACCGGTAACACAATTTCATGGGTTTAGCTTCCTACATAAAGGAGATATATCGCAAAAACTGGTATAGGGACAATCAGTGGTATACGAGATAAGGCTTATACAGCATAGATTTTGACAATTTTCACAGTAGACTTTGTATTATTATTTATACAATAGTTTACGAAATTTATCGGTTTTAGCTGTCCAAATAAATTAGTTTTACATTAAAATCCCCTATCTGAACAATCAGTTACAGTGACCCGAACTTTGTTAATTTTACTGTAAACTATCTGTCGATAATGGGTGAAAATAGTGCGAAATACCATGTTTCTAGCTGCATATATTTAGAAGTTATAACAAAGAATGTCATATCTGAACAATCAGTTGTATGGGAGCTATATGTAAAAGTGACCCGATCTTTGTTATTTTCACTGTAAGAATTCTGTTGCTAATCGTTGGAAGTATTGCAAAATTTCATGTTCCTAGCTGCATAAATCGAGGAGTCATAACGAAAATTCTCATAACTGAACAATCAGTTGAATGGGAGATATATGTTATAGTGCCCCGATCTTTGTTATTTTCACTGTAAATATTCTGTTAATAATGAGTGAAATCGGTGAGAATTTTCATGTTCCTAGCTGCATAAATGGAGAAGTAAAGGCAAAAAATCTCATATATGAACAATCAGTTGTATGGAGGCTTAGGTTATAGCGACCCGATCTTCGCCATTTTCTCTGAAAGTATTCTTTTGATAATGAGTGACAACAGTTCAAAATTTCATGTTACTAGCTACTTAAATGGGGGAGTTATAACGAAAAATCTTATATCTGAACAATCAGTAGTACGGGAGCCATAGGTTATAGTGACCGGATCTTTGTAATTTCCACTTTAGGTTCTCTGTTGATAATGGGTGGAAGTATTGCAAAATTTCATGTTCTTAGCTGCATAAATGGAGAAGTTATAACGAAGAATCTCATATCTGAACAATCAGTTGTATGGCAGCTATATGTTATAGTGGTCCGATTCTTCCGGTTCCGACAAATGATTAATACATTATAAAAATACACCCACCTACCAATTTTCATCAGGATATCTCGAAAACTGAGAGACTCGATTGCATACAAACAGACAGACAGACGGACAGACGGACATGGCTAAATCGACTCAGCTCGACGCTCTGATCATTTAAGTATACATTTTAATGGGTCTATCTCTTCTTATTCTGGTACTTACAAACATCGGACCAAAGTTATAATACCATTTCATGCTCATGTATACTTATTATATAAAGAGAAGTCCCTTTTTTCTGTAAAAGGTAATCTCGTGAACGGCTAGTCCGATTTTCATCAAATTTTGTATGTAAATAGCTTTCGGTAACCACCATGTTTTAGGCTACCAAATATTTACTTTTTTCGGGTAGGTGGACCAGGGTCCGGTCTATTCGAAAAAATCTTATTATGGTCCGATTTGCTTAAAATGATGATGATCCAATTTTCCGGGAAGTGGTCCAGGGACCGATCTATTCGAAAAAATCGTATTTACGGTCCGATTTGCTTAAAATTCGGTACGCAGGTAGCTTTGTAGCATATATGATCCAGTTTTTCCGAGAAGTGGACCACGGACCGATATATTCGAAAAAATCGCATTTATGGTCCGATTTGCTTAAAATGATGATGATCCAATTTTCCGGGAAGTGGTCCAGGGACCGATCTATTCGAAAAAATCGTATTTACGGTCCGATTTGCTTAAAATTCGGTACGCAGGTAGCTTTGTAGCATATATGATCCAGTTTTTCCGAGAAGTGGACCACGGACCGATATATTCGAAAAAATCGCATTTATGGTCCGATTTGCTTAAAATTTGGTACGTAAGTAGCTTTTTAGCATATATTAGCACATATGATCCATTTTGCTTAAAATTCGGTACGTAGGTAGCTTTTTAGCATATATCATCCATTTTTTCCGAGAAGTGGACCACGGACCGATATATTTGAAAAAAATCGTATTTACGGTCCGATTTGTTTAAAATTCGGTACGTAGGTAGCTTTTTAGCATATATCATCCATTTTTTCCGAGAAGTGGACCACGGACCGATATATTTGAAAAAAATCGTATTTACGGTCCGATTTGTTTAAAATTCGGTACGTAGGTAGCTTTTTAGCATATATCATCCATTTTTTCCGAGAAGTGGACCACGGACCGATATATTTGAAAAAAATCGTATTTACGGTCCGATTTGTTTAAAATTCGGTACGTAGGTAGCTTTTTAGCATATATTAGCACATATGATCCATTTTTCCGAGAAGTGGACCAGGGACCGATCTATTTGAAAAAATCGTATTTATGGTCCGATTTGCTTAAAATTCGGAAGGTAGGTAGCTTTTTGGCATGCATTAGCATATGTGATCCATCTTTTCCGAGAAGTGGACCAGGGACCGATTTATTCGAAGAAATCGTATTTATGGTCCGATTTGCTTTAAATTCGGCACGTAGGTATCTTTTTAGCATATATGATCCATGTTTTCCGAGAAGTGGACCAGGGACCGATCAATTCGAAGAAATCGTTTTTATGGTCCGATTTGCTTTAAATTCGGCACGTAGGTATCTTTTTAGCATATATGATCCATGTTTTCCGAGAAGTGGACCAGGGACCGATCAATTCGAAGAAATCGTTTTTATGGTCCGATTTGCTTAAAATTCGGTACGTAGGTAGCTTTTTGCCTGGATAAGCTTATAGATTCCTGTTTTCCAATTTTCATGCAATTTCGAATATAAATAGCTTTAAGTAACGACCATATCAAGGGGCGAATTCGTCACTAGGCAAGATTTTTTTGCGCCAATCAGAAACAACGGATACTGTCAAAATATAATTATAATATATAATATATCTCAACTAATATATATTTAGAAAGCCGTTTGTTAGTTTTCGCAAGGCTCGAGAGCGGCTGAACCGATTTTTTTGAAACTGCCACCTGCCGCACGTGTCCCAAGGATGGTTTTAGGCTGAAAAAAATCTATATGTAAAGGGGGCGTGGCACTTCCCTTACAAACCAAATTTCTCATGCTACATATCTCTGAAAGTGTGCATGGTAGAGCTCTGGAACTTGGTATGGAGATATACGAAATCAATCGCATACCCTTGGAGAAAAATTTAAGCTATTGTAAAAAGGGGTGTGACATCTCCCATACAAACCAAATTTTTCATACTACGTATCTCTGGAAGTATTAATGGTAGAGTTCTGGAACTTGGTATGGAAATGGGGGGGGGGGAAATAACACCAACGGCAATAACGGAAAATTTGCTTTATTTCACGTTTAATTGGGAAATAATACCAAAATCTGAGTTTTGCTTTATTTCTAAATAAGGTTGGAAATAAAACAAATTTTGCCTTATTTCCCATTGCTTATTTATACTATTTGTAACAAAAAAAAAACAGTTTACTGACAGAAGGAAAAAGAACTTTCATGATACAAAAAAGAAGTTAGTTTCAATAAACCACTTTTGGGGGATAATAACATTTTTTGAAGTTTCATAAATTGTGAGTATTATCAACGGTCTTGTCACTTTGATAATATTAAAACAATAAATCGGAGTATTTTCCTTCCTATATTTATACCAATGTAATAATATTTCAAATCAAAACCCATTATCAGTGCTTGGTACTTTTTTTACTTACGTAGCTCGCATTTTTTTTATTAAAAATATATAAAATATAAAGCAGAGACCCAGAATAATAATTATTTTATTGTTGGGTTTTTAAATAGGTCATCAAAATATTCGCAAGAATTATAAGTCTTTTGATAATAATTATGTGTGAGAAATTTGTTTAAGTCATCGATAACTATTATTTTAAGACTTATATAATAGANCTTTTTTTACTTACGTAGCTCGCATTTTTTTTATTAAAAATATATAAAATATAAAGCAGAGACCCAGAATAATAATTATTTTATTGTTGGGTTTTTAAATAGGTCATCAAAATATTCGCAAGAATTATAAGTCTTTTGATAATAATTATGTGTGAGAAATTTGTTTAAGTCATCGATAACTATTATTTTAAGACTTATATAATAGAAGTCTTTTTAAAATAATTTCCAGCGAGATAAATATTTTTAAGTCTTCAAAGATTTTTATTTTGAGACTTATTTTGAGACATATTTATCTTAATATAATGATTATTGATTGACTTTTATTATTTTCTCTTATAATATTTAGTTATGTCTCTGATATAAAGTATTAAAGATGACTTCATGGTAATTGTTCTTTTTATTTTATAACAAAAACCATGCGCAATGCTGTTATTTTTTCATTTTCTTATTTTGAATACAATCTTGCGATTTAAAAATCTAATTCTAAAGAATATTCTTTGCAAATAAAACCTTGTTATATTTTGGCACAAATTAGTTTTAATTTCTCATGAGATTTTGCAAAAAATTAGGCTTTGTGATTAGCTTATCACCATTAACTTTCACAAATTTTGAATTTAAAGTTTCTAATATATGCCAAAAACCTGAAGTCGACTTGAACAGACCGCTAAACAATGAACATATCGTCGCTTAAAGTACAAAGTCTGAAACTTAGTCATCAACCCCATTTACGAAATTATGTAGCCGGCATAATTTTCAAGTCCATCATATTCCACATCTTTGAATGTACTGATAAAATCTTCTGCTTTGAAAAAAAAATTCTTCCAGTGATCAGGTAGCATGAATTTGATGAAATGTCATAATTTTATTAAAAGTCAAATGGTTAACAACAACAACGAATTTCATTAAATGGAGCTACCTGGGGGAAATAAAATGTGGTACACGACCAAAGTAAACTTTGATATTAGAAATAGAAACAATACTACAGAAGGCGTGGTCAGAAAAATCATTTTTCGAATGTGTGATATTCTAGTGAAAGTGATAAAAAGTTCAAAAATTGTGTGAAATACATCTTTAACAGCTTTTTCAAGAACTTCTAAAAGGCTTGCGATCGGTCGTAGGAAAAAAAAGTGGCACGAACGCAGAAAAAGTGGTGTTATTGAATTTTCAATAACCGAAATAAAAGAAAGTGTGTAAAGAATATAAAATTTATTGATTTGCAGAGCATTTCAGTGTAATGTGGCTTTATTTCTTTTTTTTTCATAGCAAAATGGCACCGAAAGCTCCGCTTTCCGATTCAGAAAGGAAAATTGCTCTCAATTTGAAGAAGGAAGGCAAAACTATAAGAGATATAGCAACAAGTAAGAAAGTCTAAGTTCGGGCGGAGCCGAACATTAAATACCCGGCGCAAGTATTAAATATATGTTTTCCACCTCTCCGAAAGCTACCGCTACATGATAAGCCGGGGTGTATACATTTTAAGTACATTAGCGTCCTTAAATTTCGAAATATTGAAATTTCAAGCATATCTGAAATTTACCGTTATATGAAAAGCGGCCTCAATTTTAGTCCGATTTCAACAATTTTCAACGGTTTGCTTTTATGTGGCAAGCACAATAACCATACCGAGCTTGGTACAAATTGCTAGAACGGTTAGCGAGATACATATATGTGATCACAAGTGGGCGGTGCTACGCCCATTTTCCAAAAT